AAAAAAAATAAAGTAATAAAAAAAGTTAAATTTGAAATTCTAAAGAAAAGATACTGTAAAAAGAACCTATTTTGTAATTTAAACTAGCGAAATGAACGGGACTCTAAACTTACGTCAGAGTACAAATAAGGCTTAGTTTCTCTCTCTCCATGCCCAAGATTTTAATGGCAGTGGGCAAGTATTACATTTATGGCATGTTTACTTACCGGGAGTGGGGAATGAGAATTAAGAATCAGAATTAACCCCATGTTTACTTATCCATTTTTATCTTGGAATGAGAGTGAAAATGTATGGATCCCACACCAATTTGGGGTTGAGGAATGTGATTGGCACTCCTCTCACTCCCCATCGGATTGGCACTCCCCATCCTAATAGTAAATGTTAATTACGATTTTACTCTTAATTCTACTAACAAATTTGTGAATAGAAAAGTAAAAAGTAAAAAATTAAAAAATATCCTAATTTACTTTCACACATCTCATATCTTCTTGCTCACTTCCTCTGATGTATATATTTTTTTTCTTTTCTATCTTTCTTACTAGTGCCATGGATGAATTCATATCAATGCAAATAATTAAATGAAACTAAGATAGTTTTTTTTTCCATGCTTATAATTTGATTCTTGTATTATGCCTATTGCTTTTCATTTTTCAATCTATATCCTAAGCTGATTTATGTTTTCTATAATATGCAATGTAATGCTAAATTTAATTTTATATGTTGATAATGTAGAGTAATCATGTCTCAACTTTTAGCACGAAAGAAGAGAGTAATTAATAAAATCTAATTACTAATTAGTTATTCTAATTATTTAGATGATTAATTAGGTGTGATTAAAAAATCTAATTACTATTAGTTATCATAATATTAAGATAGTTAGCATAATACACAATTTTTTTTAAGTTCAACACACAAAAATCTACTAAAAGGATATGTAAGTAAATTTATAACAGTTTATTCCGATTCTAGGCGTACGTAAACGCATGAATGAGATTGGGACTGATTTCGACTCTAATTCCTGAAACTTAAGTAAACAGTTTATTCTAATTTTAATTCCTGTCCACTCTAAATCTTGTCCACTCTGAATCTTGTCCACTTCGATTCATGTCTACTCCGATTACGGATAAGTAAACATGCCATTAGTAACAACTCAAGCATTGGTCAGAAAGAGTGCAAAAACTGTGAGTCCATCTTCTTGAATATGAAATCCAAGTCCCTTGATGAACCATGACATAAATCAAACCAACAGCCTTTTTTTTTTTCTTTTCTTTTGGGAAGATAATTTCTTGGAAAATGTAGTTATGAATGCAAATGAGAGGCATACATCACAACACAACTCCATTAATGATGAAAGACGTTGCATGTCATAGCATTAACACATTACCAATGTCACAAGCACCAACGTCACAAGCACCAACAATATTAATTGCATCAAGAGCTACATCTACCAACCGACCCCAACCCATCCACTTGTTTCCCCGGAGTCAAATGCTAGTGTTAAACAGCTCAACTCACTCCTTTTACCAAAAAAAGAAAAATAAATAATAAAATAAAATAAATAAAATCAAACTAAATAGTGTTTTCTAAAACGTGAAAATAGTATTTGTTATATCAGTTATAAGTGTACCAATTTAAATAACCACAAAAATGTTCACAAGGAAAATGAGAATTTACACCATTAATAAGGTAGTGGTAAGATTTACAACAATGCTAATACTAATAGGTTAGTGCTATATACATTCTGCAACACCCATTTTTCTAACTGACAAAATTTTTAAAAATAAATATTAGGAATTAACTTGAATCATGGTGTATATTTAGGGAATTCTAACATCAAGTTGAGTTATTTGTTATGGATGCACGCGATGAGGACTCGAGGTGCTGAGAACAAATTCATGTCATTTTATAGAAGTTATATATATGTTCATTTTTTTATGATTTGATAAATGTATATATGTTCATGATATGATGTACTTCATGTTATAATGCATGGAATTAAGTGTCTTAGAAAAATTTTAAGTTTTCCTTGATTTTTCTTGTTAGACAACATGACTATTTCTATATCATTAATTTCCAGCTCTATTTTGGACCCTTTAAATTCTGAAATTATTCCTTTGGTTTATACAAAGCCATAGATGCTTTCAAAAGCTTTCCAACGCCTTCTCATTTGCACAAATCGGACATTGGAGTAAGAAGATGTGGCCAGTATACCATTCGGATACCCAGAAGTGTCCGATCACGTTACTGCATGTGAACAAGAATGGAAATTCTAGAAGTTGACATAACTCTTTTATTTGTCTTCCACACAATTTTACACCATAATGACAACCATTCTCCCAGCTGTTGGTCATTTAATCATAGAATTAAACCTTAATTAAACCTAAATCAATCATATTAATTTTTATACACATTAAAGAGCCATTCAATTCTCCTTCTCTCCCTCCATCTTCCTCCTTATTTCTCACGTTCAAGAACATTAGAGAAAAACTCCAACCAGCCATCAAACCTCACCTCTTGACTCTTTTTGGATTCTTCATTCATTAGAGGCAAAATAAAGATTGTCGAGGTATGATTCTTTCTTGTTATTTGGTTTGAATTTCTATGAGAGTTTGGATGATTTTACTTTGGGTTTGATTATAATGGTTTGAGAGAATGATGGAGGATATTTATTGGTTGATGATTGAGGGAGGATATATGTGATTTAGTTGATGTTTAATGTCCATGGCTGCAAGTTTTTATTTTGGATTGGAATACATGACCCGGTTATTGTTTTGAGTGTTTTGATGTCTTCATAATTTGATAAATTCTAGAGAGCCATGTTAAGAATTATGTTATTTTCTTATATTGTTGTTTCTTCTATGTTGTAAATTGTGATTTCATAGAAACATGAGTTAGGATGGTGTGAATTTTGATGGTCATATTGATGTTTCTAACATGCTTTGCCACGAGGATTTTTATTGAATGTATGATTTGAATGTTTTAGGAACATATCTTAGGGCTAGTTAAAGTATGCATGTGGTTGGAGTTGATTTTATCTTTAATGAATTTATTTTTGTATTTTCAGAATTTACTAGTGCTAGAATTTTTCAGCTTATGTGATCTGACTTTAAAATAGTGTTTGCGGGACCAAACGAATTCCGTTTTTAGCAAATTAGATACCGTTGGAAAAATCTGGATGTCTATTTTCAATTGGAACTAGTCTCAATTCATTTTGACTTCGGTGTAATTTGTTATGAATTTTTAAAGGGATAAAGGTCAGGTTTGCCAGTTTTTGTTAAGTTTTGTAATTTTCTATAATTTATGGGTTTTTATGTCTTGACGTTAATGAATGATGAGAATAGTATATTAGACGTTGTTTTAACGTGATTAATGTGTTTGATGAGTTGTTAAGGGTTTTTAGTAATTTTATTTATGATTTATGGCATGACCGGTTCTAGAGGGGAGCACCTAAGGACCTCATTCGTCGCGTCACCGTTGAAAAATTTAAAAAGGTTAATTAATGCGTTTATGTACACATGCAACATGAATTGAATAATTGAGAAGTATATGATTTCGATGTTTATGACGATGTTATGAAACTTTTAATGTTTCTCTTATGATGACGTTTTCTAGAAAAATGTATATATGCATTTTTATGTTTTTAAATGACGTTGTACACTCTTGATGGTGACCAGTGAATGGATTTATTATTACGGTTGATATGGGATTTGCTACCCCATGTTTTCCATGGCTAGCGCGCTATGATGGTGCAACGTCAGGCCTAATATATGATGGATTTATGGATTTTAAAGTTAAAATATGTTCAAAATAATTGTTCTCATGATGACGTTTATTGTTGATGAATAAAAATGTTCATTTACGTTTGTGAGATTTAAGTGTCTTACTAAGCCTTTACTTATATAAGTTATTTCATGTTGCAGACGAACTAAAGGGTAAGATGTCGCCATGGAACTTTAGTTTAGAGTGGTTTTGACTTGACGAATACTTTAGACTTTTTTTAAGTTTATTTCACAGTATAAATTTTAATAATTAAGTTGAACCTAAAGGTTATTTTTCTTTGACGAAGTTTAAAATTTTTAAAAGTTATAATAAAAAAAAAATTCTAAGATTTCTTTAAGTTATTCAAAGTAAAGTGTTTTAAGTTTAACTATTTTCTATATTCTTTAAGAGGCAAATGTTTAAAATTTAAGACAACTGTGACGGCCTGAGGAATCGTTACACATTCCCTAACTTCAAAAATTTACAAATGAGATTGACAAGAAGGAAAATGAGAATTCAGTTGGTAATGATGCAAACAAAAATCCCATTAGATGGATACAACATAGATAATGGTTTAAAAGCGTAACTTTCAGAACGGAACTGCAAGGACGAAAAAAGTATGTCAAAGTTAGATTCCAAATGTAACCAAGTGCACAACAAGATAAACCCCGGAGAAAATTCGATGTAGGTTGTAAATCTCCATAGAATTGTAATCTTCCTAATTTTCTAATTTGAGGAAGATGAACAAATATATTATCATTTGAGGAGGGTCCATGATGATCGACCGTGGACTTCATTTGAAAAGGATTGTTGGCTTTAGCCTTAAAGAGTTCGTTCATTTTGCTTATTTGAGTAAAAAACTTGACTTAAAAATGAATGTGTTAAACAAAATACTGTAACAGAAAAAGTTAAATTTGATTTTTTATAAGAAAATACTATAATAAAAACTTAACGAACGAGCCTAAAATACTTAAACTACTACTAATTGGTTAATCTTTTATGATTAAATCCTAAGGACTCGATCAACAAACTAGTTATAAGCTTCTCTGCTTTTAAACCAAGTCCTTTTTATTGATTATTCTGTTTTCAAACCGTGGAAAGTCTTGCATTGTAGGTTAAAGTAATACCGGGAATCAATATACGAACAACTGAAAATTGCCAAGAACGATGCTTTCACTGAAATAAGAGGAAAAGTTCTCCAAAAATTGCTTTAGACAAGAGTCCAATGATTTGGAAGACAACAAGGTTGTGGCTTTGAATAAACTGAAAAATGACTCAAAAGAAGCTCATTAACTCTCGAGGCATCAATTGAAAACTGCGTAGAAAGATAGTTTAATTGAAATAAGAGGAAGAGTAATACACAAATCCCTTTAGATAAGAGTTTTATGTTCTGCAAGACAACAAGGTCGTGGCCTCTTCTAACTGGAAAATAACTTAAAAAAGCTCATTAACTCTCAATGGCATAAACCATACTCATGCATGTTCCACATTGTGGCCCGTCAAGTCTTCGGCTTCTTCGCCATTCTCCTTAGGCAATTCATTTTCTTCTTTGTCGCCGTTCCCTTCAACCTTGGAAACATCTTCTGAGACATCTTGTAGCTACAGAATTGATGATAAATCAATCAAGCATCTCCTTTTTGATTTCTCATATTTAAGTATGTTGCCAAGGGACAATATGATAGTAATACTTTCAAGTTAAGCAAAGGGCAATTATTTAGATCAAAACATACCCCCAAGTTTCTGAGGCTGGCAGTAACATCCTCTTGTTGCTGTTGAAGAGTGGTCCTCAAATCTTTGAACTCCTAGAGGATATTAATAATAAGTATTTTGTAATAATCACTTCAAAAGATAAGAGTAGAAACGATTGGAGAATGGAGCACCACTTACACTTCGGAGTTGGTCCACTTCAGTGTTGAGTGATTTCTTGAGTTCTGAAAGTTCCTGCATATACGATGAGAAATTTCCATTAATAGCTCATATAGCAAGATTCGTAGCACGCATAAGGTGGAGGCAATTTAAGGAAAAAAGACATAAAACTGGTACATCAAACCAAGGGTCCAACACATACAAGAAAGACAGAAATAAAGCAAATTCTCATACGAGTAAGTTGCAAAAATTACAAGATGGAACGCGCTTCAGTTAACCGCTCTAAAAGGCAAAGCCTTTACTAGCTTTATTTGGTTGTCTTATTACTATATATATATATATATATAGAACTTGCCAGCATTCAATCAGAAGTTCCAGATCCCAATTTATGCTTATACAAATCCTTGCTATCAGAACTCTACTTAAAAAACAAAAAATCCAACATGAACATCATTCATGATTATGAAAATCCCGTGCCTCACAGTTAAAACCAACTTCACAACAGTCATCATCATACTCACTTCCAAAATAACAATTCTGAGCAAGCTTGAAAATCATACAACTTAAGCTGCTTGCAGTCACGAGGTTTCCAAAATAATAACGGCAAACCTAAAGTCTAATGCTTTTGTCAAAGCATGATAGTTGTACACTTCAGCAAACTAACAACAAAGTTTCCTCTAGGAGAATGCAGCTCAAGCTGACTTTTGTACTCGACCTAGCTCTCAACTCGCAAACACTAGCTTACTCACGCATTACCGCTCTTGAATTGACTTCAAAGTGGTAGTATTTATACGCCAAATATGCTTGGACTACAACATTAAAAGATCAAGTGGCTCCCACCCTAGCTATAAGTCATCTGCACGCCAAGCCTAACTCCAAAGATCTTCCAAAGGGTGAACCCGTAACTTTTCAAACTTCCGTGTTATCTCATTCAATACTCCCCCTCAACACTAACTTATCTTGCCACGGAACAAATTGAGTTACTGTTCAAATCTTGCATATTCAACTGTATTGTGTGCCTTAGTGAATATGTTGTGAATTAAGTGTTAGCATAAACAGAGTAGAAGTCAACAAAATCGGATTCACCTATTTTGTCAATGTTGAAGGGTGGAGTTGAGCAATACAACACAACCCCTTGAGAAGTTTCGAGATTGAATTGCGCCTTGGAAGAACTTGGCAGCCACCTAAATTGCCCCTTTGTAGGAACACATTAGCCACCAGGTTTGAGGCAAGTTTTAATGGCTGATCACTTCGTTTTCAAGCCTGACACAATCTATAGGCACTTGGAGTCTAAGCACAGTTGACCTATTAATACAAACCACTTCCTCCCATTTGGAGCACATAACACGTGTAGTGTGAAGTGCAAGCGGGCCCTTTTTTCGCATGATTTTTAGCTCGTATCCAACAAGTATAAGTAAACTAGTTGTGGGTCTTCTTCCAAGAGTCTTGAGTTTATTTTCTTTCTTTTAGGGCAATTGGGGTCTTGATTTCTCTATTCATACACTTTGTACTCAACAGTAAACACATTTGAAAAGTGGAATGAGAAAGAAAATACCATATAACGAGCGCCTAAACATCACATTATGCTATATAAGGTGATAAATGAGCAAGAACTAATTACAACAAAGGAAGCTACACTTACATCGCGATAGACCTTCACTTGGGTATCCAGTTTTGACCTCCAACTTTGCAAATCCTAACACAAATTGAATAATTTTTTGAAAAAAGAACCTTTTTTTTTTTTTTTTTTTATGGTTTTCTTTTCAAGAGGAAACACTTTGTAGTCCAACTTTAAAAAATAAAAAATAATTAGCGAAAGTCACAAAGAAATAAAACCTGTTTCAGCCCTTGAATCCTATTAAGGAGCTCAGATCTCGATTCGTTTAATTCCTTGACAATAAAAAATCATAAAACTGGAGTTAATAGCAATTAATTAAACAACATTCTAAGTTATTTTCCCCTAATATTCTCAACATCCAAATATAGATAGGAAAAAAAATTCACAAAAATACCGCGATCTTTGAGGCAACCGGAGTCAAGTTCTCCTTCTGCAAACATCAAATGAAGAACACAATAACACATTTGCAATAACAATTATAGGAAAAAAAAAACAAAAGCAAAATCGAGCAACAAAATCACAGATTAAAAGAAAAGGGTATTTGAAAATGAGAGGTTACGGATGAAGAGGGAGGAGTGGAGGAATCTTTGTTGGCCATTTCCGATGAAATTTCCAAAATCTAGAGAGAGAGAGAGAGGATTTGAAATGGGTATTAACGATTAGTTAAGAGAGCTTCGTTGAAAAAAAAAATCACAAAAATACCGCTATCTTTGAGGCAACCGGAGTCAAGTTCTCCTTCTTCTGCAAACATCAAATGAGAACACAATAACACATTTGCAATAACAATTATAGGAAAACAAAAAACAAAAGCAAAATCGAGCAACAAAATCACAGATGAAAAGAAAAGGGTATTTGAAAATGAGAGGTTACGGATGAAGAGGGAGGAGTGGAGGAATCTTTGTTGGCCATTTCCGATGAAAGAGAGTGATCCGATGAAATTTCCAAAATCTAGAGAGAGAGAGAGAGAGAGAAGAGGATTTGAATTGGGTATTAATGATTAGTTAAGAGAGCTTCGTTGAAGTGGTGGGTTTTGTTGTGTTGTGTTCATTCACTGTGGCTGGCAGCTGTTGAGTTGAGACCTGCGAGAGTCGGAGGCAAAGGAAACAAAAACTTAAAATTTGATTTTTTTTTTTTTTTTTTTTTTGTGTGGTTTAAAAGTTTGTGTTTGGGCGGGTTATGGGGAAATAATGAGGAGAGTTTTTTGCTAAGCTCTGGTGGGGATCTTATGTAGATGTATGATTGAGATACGAGAACTAGGATCTTCTTCTTTTATTTCATTTTATTTCTTATATTGTTGTTAATAATAATTATGTTATTTAAAATAATAAAAAAAGTAATCTCGATGAGTGTGGATTTGGTGGAGGGGTAATTTGGGTTTAGAAGATATGCTTGGAGCTACTAACGAGCTGAGACTTAGCCCTGTTTGTTTTATTGATTTAGTTCAATTTAATTCAGTTTAAACAGTGAGCACAGTTTAAATTAGTGTTTGGCAAGCATGCAGTTATTTTCGGTTTGAACTGAGAGTTAAATGGTCCAATTAGAGTTTAGCTCTCATTTCAAGTTTAACCGTTCAAATCATTTTTAAATAGTAAAAAATGTGTCCACTCTCTCTGTTTTTCACTATTACCAAACACAAATTTAAATTCGAAAATAGTAGAAAATAGGCCAATATGAAAAGCTTAAGAAAATATATAGGCTAATTTTTAGTTATATAAATTAATAGGGCATAACTTGTCAAGTTATGGTTCATAACTAGATAAGTTATGGACAAACTTGTCAAGTTATGGTTCATAGTCATACAAGTTATGGATAAAAACCGTGAATTATAGACAATAACTTGTCAAGTTATGGTTCATAATCAGACAAGTTATGGACAAAAACATTAATTTGGCCTATTTATTAACTTATGTAAATTATTGGCCTATTAATTTTAATTCATTTCAAGTCTTGGCTTATTTCCCTCTTTCTCCCATTTAAATTTTATTTCATGTTTAAATTAAAACTTTAACTACACATCCAAACATTAATTCAAACTACAATTTAAACCACACAATTTGAATTTTTCTATTCAAATTAAAAAGTATAAATTAATTAAATTTAAACTAGCGAACTAAACGGGGGCTTAGTTACTCTTGTAGAGAAAATTATCAATATTTATGAGTCTAAATTTTTATCCATTTTTTATTAATACCCTTTTAACAAATATATAGTTACGTAATAAAAAAAAGATATTAATCAGTAGTGAAAGATAAAAATTTCTTTTTTCCTAAAGTGATTGAACAGGCTTGCGGCTTAACTCTAGTGAAATAATTAATTCTATTTTTCAAGGGATGAAAAAAAAATTGTGCATAAGTTGTAATATTTATACATAAGTTTGTAAATTAAACCGTAATGACATTTTTATCTCTTGTCAACTACTTTTAAAATTAGTTATACAAATCCATAACCACGCATATGAATAAGGGTACATTGGAAATTATATTATATCAATAATTAAGATGTTAAAACAAGTCGGGCCTAAATGACACGTTAAAAAGTGGCACGACGCATCACGACATTATTATTAAATGGGCTTAGCCCATCCCGTTTATTAAATGAGCTAGGTTTGACGTAACTTTTAGGCATAAAACACGCTAAGAGCACAACACGAGCATGAACACGTGCACGTTAAAAGCATGATAAAGGCCCAATTAATAGGATGAAGTATAAAACTAATTTTATTAATATATTTGTACACGTCATAAAAATATTTATTTTATTAAGAAGTTTATAAAAATGAAAATAATAATTAAGTTAATAATAATTTAGGAAGATTTTTTAATTAATTGTATGCTTTCTAAAGTTTAATGTTTTCATTATGTTAAAAGTTTATTTCCTTGTATTTGTTATAAATATGCTATTTGGTATGATAAAGGCAGGTTAAAAGCACGACAAAAATACGAGCACGATCCAAGCACGTTAATGACATAGCCTACATATAAATGAGTTATGGACTAAGCTTGACGCCATAAAAATTAAATGGGTCAAGCCTAACACGACACGATAAAAAATGGGCCCGTCTAGTCACGCTTAGACAATCTAAATAGGTCGGGCCAAGCTGGGCCGACACAATTGACATCTCTAATAAAAAACTATAAAATAGACATATTGATAATATTATTAAATTAAAGACATATTCTAAACATGGAGTTTAAAAATTATCATTTTGTGTAATTACTTCTTGAAATCTTATAATAATAACAAAATATAATATAATTAAAATAATGACGAAATAATAGGTACTATATCCTTTTTATTATTTTTCTAATATTTGAAAAATTTTACTAAATATCAACTCAAGGCATTACATTTTGTCATATAGGGTATCTCAAAACTTTTTAAGTAAAAAAATTAAAATATAACAATTTTTGGAAGTATTTTAAAAATGGAAAATATTTATATCAAAATAATTACAATATAATTATAAAATACAAAATGTGACATAATTACAATAATCATTGAATGTTTTTTTTTTTTACTATTTTTAAATATTTTAAAAATTTTACTAAATTTAATTTCAGACATGAGGCCTCGTTCATTTCATCGATTCGAGTTTTTAGTTTTAAGTTTTTACAGTAAAAAACTCTCAGACAATATCACATCTAATTTTTTTTACTACAGTGAAAAGCTCTCAGAAAATGTCACATCTCAACTCGAATTAAAAACTCAAATCCGCAAAGTGAACGAGCTTATATAGTATATCGGCATCTTTTTTTATTTATGTTACAATTTATTTTTGTTATTCAGGTTTATGGGACGTTATATTGATTTTTTTAATATAAAACGAAATTGAACCCACAATTTTTCCTTAAACTGCACCTCATTCGAACACCGCGGTGTCATTAGATCACGAGGCTTTACTGGACCTTTAATTTATCCATTTACATGGGGTTAATTTTTAAAGTTTCCAAAAGTTCAATTGAATACGAGCAAAATAAAAAATAAATACAAGCATGCAATTAACAAAAACTGCTCGACGGAGATTACCCTAAAAAAAAAAAAAAAAAAAAAAAAAAAGAAGAAGGAGGGGCAAAACATAAATCCGCATTCTGCGGTTATTGTTGACTCCTTTATTTCTGTTTAATAATTGTTAATTATTTAAAACCCTGACTTCCAACAGTGCCCTTTCGCAACAAGCAATAGAGAGGTTCTGATCGACCAAACCAATCGTCCACTTGCGGAAAATCGGGGACCTTGTTGTAATTTCATTGGAAAAAGTACTAGAGGCTAATGATTCTGGCTCTCTTTTTGGTCTCTTAGTCAACAGGAATTTCATTATTATTTATAATCACTTCCATCAACTTTTTTTTATGTTCTTAAATCAACTTTTGTAATTGAACTTTAATTAATCGCCGGCATGAGAAAATTACCGATCGTATTTAGAATTGATTTTATTTTTATTTTTCACATTTTTTAAAAGAAAAATGAAAACGTTTCGTTTGACGTAATAAAAATAAAAAATAAAAAAAAATGATTTATTAATTTAATATAAAATAAAAGATAAATAAAAAATAATTTTTTATTTGTATTTTTTCATCTCTAAAAAAAAAATATTAATGAGATTTTTTATACTGAAAAAATCTCTTGATAAAACTATCAAACATATTTTTAAAAATAATTTCTGTTTGAGATTAAAAACGTTTTCATTTTTATTTTCATTTTAAAACGAGTTATCTCTATCTTTCAGTTTAGCCTAAAATATAAATAAAGCTTCAATTAAAATTATTGTGTATTATTTTTGTGATAGGATTATAAATGCATTATTAAAATGTAACCATTAACGGCACAAATTTTGTTTTTAAATGTAATCTAAGTAGAGCTATATGTTTATCTTTAGTAACCTTAGAAAGACTAAAGATAATACTAGGTAATGATCCTTTAATTTAAGAGCTCTTTTATAATTATAATATTAGTTTAAAAATAACATTATAAATTAATTGGAATAGAGAATGGGAAAAAAATACTTAATATTAATGCATTCATATTTAATTAATTTAATTATTATAAAGCACTATTAAATAACAAATCTCGATTAATTTCTTTTTAAGGAATCGAAGTAATGAGCTTAAGTACGAAGATAATAAACAAACAAATTCTTTCTTCATAACAAAGGAATAAAAGAAAAACAGCCATATGTATTAGCAGTAGCGCCTAGAAATTGCTAACGTACAACCAGAGCAAGCTCTCTCTCTCTCTCTCTCTCTCTCTCCTCCACTATCTCTCTCTAGTTTCCGAGCTTGCCAATCTCTCCTCTTTCGTCTCAACTGAATTAAGAGAGAGAGAGAGAGAGAAAGAAAAGGGAAAAAAAAATGAGTCAAGAAGCGTTCATATACAGCTTCGTGGCAAGAGGGACAATGATATTAGCAGAATACACAGAATTCACAGGCAATTTTCCGGCGATTGCGGCTCAGTGCCTTCAGAAGCTTCCTTCTTCCAACAACAAGTTCACCTACAACTGCGACCACCACACTTTCAATTTCCTTGTCGAGGATGGCTATGGTAATGCTCTGATCTCTTCGGTTAAGTATATTTTCCTTCTTGTTTTCTCGGAAAACAAACGGGGTGAGAGATTTTCAATTGCATGTGGAGGTTGTTGGATCTGGTTTAAAACACTGAGATATGAGCTGGGTTGTGCTTAGTTCGAGCTGAGAACCCCAAAAATGACGAATTTTTTTACCGGGCTTGGATTAGCTTTTGGAGATTTTTTTTGACTTATTTGTAAGGAACAATGGAATAAAAAAGGGCAAAAACCTAAACTTTATTATTGATTTTCATATTGATGGAGCTCATTGATACTCAAGCATTCGATATAGCTGGCTTTAGCTCAATTGATTTGTGATTATGTTTTTCAAGTAAGCTAGAAAATTAGCTGAAAAGTGGTTATTGTTGCTGGAATGGTGTTTATTGGACAATTGAAGTCCCAATTATTGCATAACTAGTTATTTCCGTGCTTGAGCATAGTCAATAATCTTATTTTGTTTTGTTTGTTTGGTAATCCTTTGATGGGTTGATCTTTGATTAGCATTATTACCTTTCCTTTTCTGCTTATTTAGTAGAATGATCTCTTACACTTGATTGTATTAGTGTAGTTTATTTGTTTAGGTGCTGCCCTGATTCTGTCATACTTGCATAAATAGAAAAACTGACCTAATAAAATGATGCTCAATATAGTAATTCTGTTGCTGTTTCGAAGTAATTAACTGGACAAGGTTGTGGCTGGTTTGGCACAGCTTCTTAGAAGCTGTTTTCGGCTTCATGGGTACAAAAGATGCTTCTTATGTTTGAATGATCTCTCAGAAGGTGAAAGTCACATAATGCGGCTTGATACTGTTAGGTTCAAACATAAAAGTTTGAATATAAATTTAAATTTTGTAAGAGAAAATATTGTAGCAAAAAAGTTTGAACAGTAATTTGAACCTGTGAAACAAACAGCTTGATTTTAGAATTTCTCTTCTTCTATTCTCAAAAGCAAAAGCAAAAGCAAAAGCAAAAACTATGCGATACTGGCTTTTAAATATGCGGGCAATTGTTTCTTTAGTTCCAGTTCTTAATGACTGATATTGGATGATTACTGAGGAAAGTGGTAATACAATGCTAATTTTCTGTTATTGCTCATGTACATGTTTTTAAAAGTCTTATTTTGAACAGTATAATTTTGAAATTTCTTGTGACTAGACCTCATGCCAATCATCAATTGCTTTATGAAATCTACAGCTTACTGTGTCGTTGCGAAAGAAGCTGTAAGCAAGTACATATCAATCGCATTTTTAGAACGAGTGAAAGTAGACTTTAAAAAGAGATATGGAGGAGGTAAAGCAGATACAGCTGTTGCAAAAAGTCTTAACAAGGAATTCGGGTATGTGTGTTTCTCCTTGATAGACGCTTTGGATGTGCAAATTTTCCCTTTTGTTTGTTTGTCACCGAGTCTCAAACAACATAAGTTTTTAAAATTGCAGACCAATAATGAAAGAGCACATGAAGTATATAATTGATCATGCTGAAGAGATAGAGAAGTTATTGAAAGTGAAGGCACAAGTTTCAGAAGTTAAAGGCATAATGTTGGAGAATATTGACAAGGTAATCAGCTGTCTTGAAGAAAAAATATGCCTCCTAGTTTTTTAGATGACATTTTCACTACTGATTTGACCATCTACCTCTCTACAGATTTGATATTTTTTACAATATTTTGGCTAACAATAAACATTGATTTTTGACTGCTGAAGTCACCACTAGGAATTTGTGTTTTGCGCTTTGTTGTTGGTTTATTTGACATGGATTGGCTGGGAAACCATATTAGACACGGACATTTTCCTTTTAACTTTATGAACAGAGTTTTTTAGATAATAAAATGAATAAAAAGGGAAGTCTTCTTGGATGAGCTTTATTATAGTAGTAGACTATTCGGTCTCAATGATAGAGGCATCAAGAGTTCTGATATTAAGGTGCTTCCTCTTACTTGGGAAACAAATTTGCAAGAGCATACTATGAAAAAAATGAAGCAGGAATGGGTGCAGAAACATATCTCTTTTTATATCCTTTTAAGGTTGCAAACTTTTGGTACTTATAAGAATAGACCATCTTTCTAGAAACCTCAAACTTCTCCCAACTTGTCACTGTTTCATGTGAAATCAATTTGCATTTTCATGTCGGTGTTGATGAACTAAATGGCTGATGGAAACCTCAACTAATTGACAAAGAACAGGACAGATGAATATGAATTTTATTCAAATGCAATCGATCACTATAACAATGGTGATATTCGAGAGATCACCGACTCTCCTCTCTAAACTCTATACATCCAAAAAGCTGCCTAACCTCTCGAGCCCCCTCTTATTTATAAGCCACTCAATCCCATTCACAACCCACCCTCTCATGCTAACAAACTAACTCTCATGCTAACAAACTAACTGAATTCAGTTACAAGCCACATCAGCCTAATTACTAACGTAGCATTTCTTCTTTTTGCTACCCCTGGCTCTGGTTCTTATCAATGGCTTTAATATTTCAAAACATTGGCCAAGTTATTTATGGCCTGTTTAGTTCACTGATTCAAGTTTTTAATTTGAGTTGAGATGTGACTTTATGTGAGAGCCTTTTACTGTAGTAAAAAAGTTAAATGTGACTATTTCTGAGAGCTTTTTACTGTAGCAAAACTCGAATTCTAAACTCAAATCGATGAAATAAATGGGGCCTTACAGACTAATGTAAAGCTTGTTTCACTTTTAAACTTCTCCAGTTAAATGTATATTAGCATCCATGAATTCCTTGAAATCACTTGCGTGTATAGGCTATAAATGTTGCAATTTACTCATATTAATTCCATAACAACTTGCTTTTCAGGCTATTGATAGAGGGGAAAACCTTACCATTCTTGTTGACAAGACCGAAGACCTGCGTTCTCAAGTAAGTTTAGGAAAGAAAAACTATTTTCTTCACAGAATTCCACAAGGGAAAAAAAAAAAAAAAAAACCTACATGTAGTGATCTGAACCATCATATCTTCTTCAAGTTCCATTAGATTTTCGTACTTTCATTTGTCTAATCTAATATGCCGGTGAAAAAACCGCAGTAGTAGTAGGGTATTTTGCCATAGTCTAGTGCAAAATTCTTCATTAAAGTTTTTGAGATGTTGTATTTACACTTGTTTTTTCAGAAATACTACACCTATCCCCTATGTTGTACAAATCGTGTTAAAAGTTGTCTCCTATAATTTACAAATCATGTTAAAATTCTCACTTATCTTTTACAAACTGTGTTAAAAACCTCGACATGGTCTATAGAATAAGGGGATAAGGAGAACATTTCTGAAAGCATTAGGTGTACTGCAACATTTCGATAAAATACAAAGTAGGTTTTTGTTATTATCCCTTTTCTTTTTTCTTCTCTTAATAACTACTGTTCACAACTTGCTTCTTTGCAACATTTAGGCCCAACAGTACAAAAGCAAAGGGACGCAAATCAGAAGGAAGATGTGGTATCAGAACATGAAAATAAAGCTGGTTGTGTTTGGAATCTTGTTACTTCTAGTACTCATAATCTGGCTCTCTATTTGTCACGGATTTGACTGCACAAACTAGCAGTAAATTTTTACATTTTAGACCAGAGAAGAAGAGTAGTTGTTTCAATATATACAAAACCATGGGCTTGAATTTTATAGCTTGTGCTGAGGAGAGAGAGAGAGAGAGAGAGAGAGAGAGAGAGAGAGAGAGAGATTTCTTACGTTCTGGTGTTTGTTAAATTGAACTGTAACATAGATTCTTGTGTCAATTTCAATATAGCAGCAATTGGTTTACGTTGAGGATTTTTTTTCCCCCCCCTTCCCCAAACCCGACTGCTAGATGATTTGAGAGACACTGAGACAGGACCTGCTCCTTCCAGCCGAGTTAAACTACAATTTTACGTGCAGTAAACTAATTAGATTTAGTTTACTACACGTAAATTGAACTCGTGTTTGAGAAAAGTTATAGCATGCCATGAGAAAATTGAACTCGTGCACATTTAATACATTCACTTAGGCACTTAATACTATGTATCTAAGGTCTCGTTCATTTCATCTATTTGAGTTTTCAGTTTTAGATTTTTACAGTTAAAAGTTCTCAGAAAATGTCACATTTAATTTTTTCTGTTACAGTTAAAAGCTCTAAAATGTCATATTTCAGCTTGAATTAAAAACTCGAATCTGCGAAGCGAATGAGGCCTAAATGTCTAATCACTTTACTCTAATAACAACTAAATAGTTACTATTTTATAATAACAACTAAATAGTTACTATTTTATATTCATGATTAATCAAACAACTAAAAATTTACTCATTTTAGTAACCAACCACACCCTTAGTTTCTTGGGCATCACAATTATTTATCACTTTCTCACTCAAGACAAAGTTTTCCCACCCTTATGGTTCTCTCTATTAAAGCTGTGTTGAGAACTTAAAGCTTTTTACATTCCACAATCGTATACTTTCCTTTCTTATTGTTTTGAAAAGGATATAAGGGTAAGTATATACTTGAGGAGGCCGAAAAAGGGAGTAGAAACTTACCCTCTGCTATTCTTTCCTTTTATTATATTTATACCTCGTTCATTTCACCGATTTAAATTTTCAGTTCTAGGTTTTCACAGTAAAAAACTCTAAAAAAATATCACATCTAATTTTTTTTGCTACAGTGAAAAGCTCTTTAAAAATATCACATCTCAATTCGAATTAAAAATTTGAATCCGTGAAATGAACGAGGCCTTATTCTTGTTTTTTTACAGTTTAGACCTGTTGCCATTCAAATAATGATATAACAATCAAAAGCAAAGTATATATTTAGCTTGAATTTGTTTGTCTTTTAACTCCAGAAACCGTAATAAGCCTGGAAAGTTCTTTTTATTAATTCGAGAAAACAGGAATTGTACTACGAGCTATGTTCAGTTGTATCAGTTAGCAGAGTCCACAAGAACTTAAACAGAATGTTGCAAGGTTTGGCTGCCAAAACGATGTTTATTTTGGGTCGCATTATCCGGCATTCTACTGCTGCAACTTAGAGGAGGCTTTTCTGAGCCGCAACATGCTTCCAAATTTCTGCGTCTTCTCAAATTTTCTTTTTCGGTGATTCCATTGTACTAGTCATGTGAACCGCCCTCTCCTGAAACAAAGACAAGTCACGTATACAAACATAAGTTGTAAAGACCTGGTTCAGAATCGATTTCGTTTTTGTTTTTTTTATTTTTTTAAAAAATAAAAACGTTTAAAAAACAGCGTTTGACGTAATAAAAATAAAAAATAAAAATAAAAATAATTTTTTTATTTAGTGTAAAATAAGAGAGAAATGAAAAACGATTTTTTTTTTATTTTCATTTTCTCATCTCTCGAGCAGAAAGAGAGAGAAAGAGAGACATTAATGAGTTTTTTTACATTAAAAATAATATCTTAATAAAATGACCAAACGCATTTTTTAAAATAATTTATGTCTGAGATTAAAAACGTTTTCATTTTCATTTTAATACAAAAAATAAAATCATTTTGAAACGAGTTCTAAACGCACCCTAGGCCTCGTTCACTTCGCGGATTCGAGTTTTCAATTCGAGCTGAGATGTGGCATTTTCAGAAAGCTTTTCACTGTAGCAGAAAAAGTTAGATGTGACATTTTCTGAAAGTTTTTTACTGTAAAAACTTAAAACTGAAAACTCGAATCGGTGAAATGAACGAGGTCTAAATAACTTTGGTTACATTTTCAAACTCTTCCCTCAGCAACGATATGGGATAAAACTTATGGCTAATATAGCAGCAATTGGTTCACATTAAGGTTCTTAAACTGTGTGTCCTCGAGAGTCTTGTAGTTTGGTACTTTAGATCCCTGAATTTAAGGACTTAATTGCCGGGAAAAAAATTGAAGGATGAAAGTTATAAACCATGAAAAGTTATGGGAAACAAGTACTTAAAACCTAAAAAGAAAAAAAAAATCTGAAAAAAACCTAAAAGAAAACATGCTGTGTGAGAGCGACATGTCGTTTTATTTGCTGTGAAATACAGGCTTGGGCCCTTACAGGCCCACTCCTCTAAAAAGCCATGTCGTTAATTACTCAACGCCAATTACATGTCGTTTATCCTCAACTACATGTCCTTAAATAAAATGACGGGTTGTTAAGGATGACTGTCCTTTTTTGCTGTAAACATGCCGTTTCATGTATTAGCCGTAAGTTTTTATAGGTAATTTCTTCCCCTTTGGAATTGGAGGTATTGGATGATCAATTGATCTGTATTCTTTCCATCTCTTTTTTATTCTCTCAAATCTCTCTCCATTGTCAATGTTGATGATTAATGACTACGTTCGTCTATAATAAGAGATTCAATTAAGAATGTGTACGATGTTTTAGTTTTAGTTTGGTGGGGGGTTGCAAAATACTCAGACGAACAAGTAAACTGGAAACGACAATAAGACGCAAACCACAACAAGCTCGAGAATGAGAGCAAAAACGACGACAAACTCAGAAATGACATTTGAAAGAAAACAATAACAAAAAGTGAACGCCAATAATTCACTATTGGCTAGAGGTGTAAGTTTGGGCTACCGGGCATTCACTATTAGCTAGAGATGTAAGTTTGGGCCACTCGGCCTGTGTTTGACGGCCCAAAAAAGGAATTTCAGGCCGGCCGGCCGGCCCTAAAAGAGAAAGGGTCAAGCTGGCCCAAAAAGTTTAGCGCCTGCCGTGAGACGATCCTAACTAACTAGTCGTCACTTAAACTCACTAAACATATAATCGCTTAAAATACTTGAATTATTTAAACTAAGTTTGCGGAATATATATATATATATATATATATATATATATATATATATATATATATATATATATATATATATATATATATATATATATCATATATAACAAAGGAAAATAAACTTAACTTTAATATTAATTAACATATATTAGTTTTTAAATTATATAAGAATTCTCACTCTTCTTAAAACCATACTGCATACATATAATTAAAAAGTCTTATCATAACAAACATATTGCGGAATTAAAATGTGAGCGGTATCCATTTCTCATTCTCTACACTGTCCGCCTGCCGCTTGCGCACAACCCATCATTCACCTTTCATCGGTTATTTTCTTACAGTATAAAATACATCCTAGGGATGAGTTTATACTCAGTAAGTAGGAATTAAGTCTCACTAATTAAAATAGAGCACTTAAAGTATATGAGTAATGCATGTACCAATTATGCTCTTTTATGAACCTGTTTTATTATTCTTTTGGGCCGAGTGTATGTACCAAGATGTGCACACGATCAGCAGGTAGAGAGGGTTTACAAGGTCTCCAACTACACCATGACCCTAATTTACCTCTTCAGGTACTGAATGATTGCCCTTAGGCCTTAAATCCTCCCCACAGGTCAAGAGGTTGCTACGACACTCTTAAATATTCTTATTAGTCATATAGATCTTAATAGCGAGCATGCGATATGTCATGGCATAGTATACTATAACTTTAAGCATAAACATGTACATAAAACATGTATAACATTATGTTATTAAACTTATTCATACTATAGATTCTCACTTACCTACTATCAGCCAAGGTCGGAACTATATTACTCGTCGATGTTAACCTCTATTGTTGTGTTCTGTAAAGAAACCCCACTGAGGATGTGAGTTTGACTTATTATAAGCTAGTCTATTAAGCTTAGTCTATTTAGGAATTTATTCTAATACTTAGCAAAATATTTTCTTTTTAAATAAGGACTGTTTCACTTCTTACATCTTACATATTATAAGGATTATTTTAATAAATCCTTATCGTATAATTTTCCTTATTTGCCTTTGCTTATTCGGTCCTAGGTTGATAACTTTAATCTTTTAATTAGTTATCTAAACCATTATTTATCTCTAAGTTACCAATTCATATTATTGCTTAGTTTGGGCTTAAAATTGTATTAAGGCCTATTAGTCTACAACATGTCTACAACGCTCCTAGACACAAATTTGTCAAACTTAGGCTCAAAAAGTTGCGGGCCTAGTACGGTGTTGGGCTTGTATCTAGTGTCGCAACGTTTTTGAAATTCTCAATCCATTTCTATTTGGAAACTATTATAGTAAACTGCATTTTACTGTTACTCATAATGTTGGTTACTTAAAATTAGTGCCGAAAAACAAATAAAGATTAAAAAAATTACCGTAAACTTGTAAAACGTTATTAAAATACTTTTTTAGGCATCGTTTACTAGATAGTATATTAAACACTCATCTTTTGAACAACTTTAATTAAAATTTAGAATCATTTATAAACTTTACAGGTTAAGTTGACTGATTTTCTTAATTTGTAAATAACTCTGTCATAGAGTTGAATTCTTAAAATCTGAGCTCTATGAAGTTTTTTCATCTCATCACGATCTAAAAATTTCGTGTTTTGCATAAAAGAGGTTCAGCCTCAGAACGGCCTAAAATCTTAAAAATAGTGGTTGCACAAATATTATTTTACACAATTTTAAAAAAACGGTCCTAAAACGTGTCCTAGATTAGGAATTGTGATTTTTTACGGTCATGGAAATTTGTCCATAACATCTAAACCTTTAAGATTTGTGCCTCGAAAATCCCAAATTGACAGTTTTGGACAGTTGTTATGAAATTTTGGGCAGTTTTAGAAAAAACATCTAAAAACACATTTTAGAGGAAGAATTGAGATTTTTCTCAGTCATTATGAAATTTTCAGCACAGTGAGATCTATAACTTTTGTGAAATAGTATTTTTCTCAATTTGGACATTAACAAAGTCAAAGTGGACTAAAATTTT